CATAATAGAAAGAAACATACCTGATTTGTGTTTACAAATAATTGTATCAAAATAGCAAGAGTACACACTTAAAGGGATACTATAGTCACCAAATAACTTTAGAAGTTTTTGTGTAAAGAGCATGCCTCTGAAGTCTCACTGCTGAATTCACTGTCATTTAGGAGTTAAATCACTTTTGTTTCTGTTTATGCAGCCCTAGCCACACCTTTCCTGACTTGACTGACACAGTCTGCATGAAAACAAAATGGCTTCATTTTCAATCAGATGCAACTCACTTTTTAAACTTCTTATCTCCTGCTCTGTAAATTGAACTGGGATTACATACAGGAGGCTTCTGAAGTGTCTAGCAAGCGATTAACAGAGCAGGAGATAAGAAATTCTAAATTAAATAGAATTTGCAATAAATTAAGTTAGATTACATGAGTTACATTAGATGACTCTTTACAGTTATTTTGGTGACTAAAGTATCTCTTTAATGTTCATAACTGTAATTGAAAACTTCAGACTCTATACTCAATAATCGAGAACCTTTCACTGAGAATAAAACTTCAATACACAATTGGGGAAAAATCCTCTAAATCAAAACAAATTAATACAATTTAATCTAGATCCTTTAGACAAAATAATTCAAAGACAATTCACAGAGAAAAGGCATTATCAAAATTAGTGACAATTTAATAGTGGCTCTAAACTCACTAGTCAGAAACCTCATGCAACAAAGAGAATAAAACACAAATAGGGTGAAATCCACTAAATCAATCAATACTAGCTATGTATCAAACTCGGCAAGCAACAAATCAGAGCATGTAAATTCAGAGTTTGATGTTCTTTGTCCACACTACAATGTATAAACAGCATATTACAGAGAGATGCTAGACAATGAGTGGCCAGCCACCACGATAGAACCCATGTACTCTCACTAGGCAGAGGACTGGAGCAATGACGCCACGCATGGGACACGTGCGTGATGACTCCCAGGGACTTATTTGCCGCGAGGTGGCAATTTCCAGGGGGCGGCAAAAAACGACGCCCCCAAACGCCCAGGCAAATGTCTTGTTTACCTCGTATAATGGGAGCCCCAGAGCTGGCCACCTTTGGGCTCCCCCGGGGAAGATAGGCAGTTGTTACCCAGGCGGGCAGTCACACTATGCTGTCAGCGAGGGAGCACTTTCCCTTGAGCGCGCTGCTCCCTCGCGCGACCCTTTCAAGGGAAAGTGCTCCCTCGCTGACAGCATAGTGTGACTACCCCCTCCCAGGAAACAACCGCCCACCTGCCTGCACGTCCGGCTGCCTCTCTGCACAGCAGCACCACTGGACCACAGGTGAAAAATCCACCCAGCTATCCCAAAAGTAGGGAGGCTGTATGGATTTCAATTAAAAAAAAAATAATAATAATAATTGTGGGGGAAATGTGAGTGTGTGTGTGTGTGTGTCAGTGAATGTGAGTGTGTGTGTGTCAGTGAATGTCAGTGTGTCAGTGAATGTGAGTGTGTGTGTCAGTGAATTTGAGTGAGTGTGTGTGTTTCAGTGAGTGTGTGTGTCAGTGAATTTAAGTGAGTGTGTGTCTGTCAGTGAATGTGTGTGTGTCGGTCAGTCAGTGTGTATGTGCCGGTCATTCAGTGTGTATGTGTTGGTCAGTGAGTGCCTGTGTCTGTCAGTGAGTGCGTGCGTCTGTCAGTGAGAGCGTGTGTCTGTCAGTGAGAGTGAGTCTGTCAGTGTGTGTCCGAGTAATAGTGTATGTCTGTCTATCAGTGTGTCAAATCAGTGAGTGTGTGTATGTCATTGTTTGTCAGTGTATATGAGAGTGTGTGTCTGTCAGTGAGTGTATGCATTTATCAGTGAGAGTGTGCCTCTGTAAGTGAGTGAGCGTCTGTCAGTCAAAGTGTGGCCTTGACAGGAAGGGGTGGGGAAAATTAAAAATTGGGGGGAGGTGGGTGGGGGTGCCCGAGCACCATCCTGCCTAGGGCAGCACAAATCCTAAATACGCTACTGATTACTCCATTAAATGAGCAAAGTGTCCAAACGGGTGCAAGAGGAAAATGAAAGCACAGGTCCCAAGCATGTCTATAGCAACAATCCCCCCATTGACACGATAAGGGACTTGAGAAAATACTAATAGAGAGCACCAGAATTAGAGTGACATAGAAAGGTTCTGTTAAAACACATCACTAACAAATGAAAAAGCTATGTAAATGTCACGATTCGAGGAACCCAACACGCTGGCACACACACACACACACAGAAAAGGTGCCGTACCGGACCTTAGAGTGGCCGGGCTAAGCACGCTAAGATTAGTCAGGAGACAAGCCAAGTAAAGGGAGCCAGAAAACAGGAGAACGAGAAACAAGCCGAGGTCAAAGGAGTGGAGAAGACAGAATAATCGGAATAACGAGCCAAGTAATCGGTAACCAGAGAGCAAGACGAGAACACTACGCTACAGGTATCACAAGACCACAACAGGGCACTGAGGGACAGGAAAGGTAAGTATAAATACCCTAGGTTTAATTCTGATTGGATAACTTCCAATCAGAATTAACAATCACACGTGGGGGATATCTATACCCCCCACTGTGATTGTGGTACTGTTTCTTTAACGCCGGGTCACTCACGTGACCCCGGCGTTTACTTAACTCCTGGACCTCCCAGCGTGCAGCGTTATACATGCTGCCGCTGGGGGGCGTGGAGGACGCTGGCGGCGAGCGGCACAGAGGAGACGCCGCTCGCCGACAGGTAAGCAGAGAGGAGACCGCGGGCGGCGATGGACTGAGGGTGAGTGCTGCAAGTGGCGTGCAGCCTCCCCTCCTCGCCGCCCGTGGCTCCCTGACAGTAAATCTCAATACAACTGATCTATACCATAAAAATTACATTATTCCATAAATATCATATACAAAAAAATCAGAGCGTTGTATCACTATTAAATAGCATACATAACTGAATAAAATGATATTGCCATTATGTTATCTAATCATATAAATTGATTAGATTAAGGAAAAGTGTAAATATCTCAATCGATTGTAATTTATAAAATGTACAAGACATAAATAAAACAACAAATATTATAGTAAGGTTGATGGAAAAAAGAAACTTAAAGGTAATAAATTCACATTACCTAAATCACAAAAGAGGAAAATACGTTTAGAAAAAAAAATCTATTTATATATATTTCTACAGAAAATAACTAGTTATAAAAACTCAGTTAATAAATAAATAGCAAATAAAATAAGGAAATAATTATTAAGTTCATCAACTTTATAGTGTTTAACCACTAATAATTGTTAGGAAGGCAAAAACAGATCAGGAAAAAAGTGACCGTGCAGAACTATAATGTAATAAAATAGTGAAGACATTCCTGATGGAATTGTCCCAGAATGTGGGAAGTAACAGGAGAACCTGGAGTATAATTAATCACTGACTGTCTTGTGTTGGTATAATAGAGCAATTTTAACTGAGATGTAATATTATTATTATTATTATTATTACTGATATATATATAGCGCCAGCATATTCCATAGCGCGTTAGAATATTATCAAAGGAGGAGATTTAACAATAAATGAGACAATTACAAAAACTTACAGGAACAATAGGTTGAAGAGGGCCCTGCTCAAACGAACTTACAGTCTATAGGAGGTGCGGCGTAAAACACCATAGGACGGGAGGTAGCAATCAAAAAAGGTGGGAATTAAGCAGAGCTCGAGGAGAGAATAGAGTACTGCCCTCAGTAGCGTACACATAATCCATGGGGCCCTGGTGCGAAACTAATCCGTGGGGCCCCCCCGACACATACATACATACAGACACAGACATACAAACAGACACACACACACACACATACACACAGACACATACATACATACATACAGACACAGATATACATACAGAGACACATACACACAGACAGACACACACATACATATAGACATACACATACAGACACATACACCCCCCGACAGATACACATACACATACATACATATAGAAAGACACATACAGACAGATAGACAGACACAGACAGACACACACATACACACACACACACACCCCACCGACAGACATACACACAGACACATATATACACACAGACACATACACACACCCACCCACACACAAACACATACATACAGACACACACATACAGACACACACACACACACACATACAGACACATACATACAGAGGCACACACATACAGACACACACATACATACACAGACACACACACACATACAGACACATACATGCAGAGAGACACACACACACATATACAGACATATATACATACAGACACATACATACAGAGACACACACATACACACAGACAGACACACAGACACATACATACAAACACACACATATACAAAATGTTTAAGTCACCCTCCTGTTTCCTACCCTTTGCAGGAGGGTGACTTTCCCTGGGGTTCAGTGGGGGCTCAGCCTGATGGGAGTCAGAGTTCTCACTCTGACTCCCTCCTCCTTCCTCCTATCTCCTTCCTCCTTCCTCCTTCCTCCTTCCGCCTGTGCAGCTCTCTAATAGCTGGGAGGAATGACAGGGGCAGTCACTTCCTCCCAGCTCTGTCAGATGTCATCACAGGCGGCCCCGTCGCGCTGTTAAAGCGCCGCAGCGCTGACCGGGCCCCCTGGAAATCCATACCCATCGGGTGGCCCTAACAGCATGGGCCACCTGATGGGCCCCTTCATGTGTGGCCCTGGTGATTTGCCACGCGGGCCCCCTGGAGTGATTGGCCTGGTTGCAGCTGCAACCCCTGCGACTGTGGTATGTACGCCACTGACTGCCCTTTAGGAGAGAGCAAGGGGACAGGTATGTGTGGTAGAGGTTACTCTGGGAGGCCATAAGCTTTCCTAAAGACATGGGTTTTGAGGCACTTTTTAAATGATTGAAGACTAGGGGAGAGCTTGATGGTCGTAGGCAGGCTATTCCAAAGGGAGAGACCGAGAAGGGGCATACCTGCGGATCAGTGAAAAAATATAGGAGGGCTAGAATTAGACAATGCTTTATAGGTATGGATTAATACCTTGAATTGACTCCTATAGGATACAGGAAGCCAATGTAAGGACTGACAGAGGGGAGAGGTGTGAGAGGACCGACTAGAGAGGAAAATCAGTCTTGCTGCAGCATTCATTACAGACTGTAGCAGGCCAATACGACTTGTGGGAGAGAGTTACAATAATCAATGCGAAAGATTATTAGAGCATGGACAAGCTCCTTAGTAGCATCTTGTGTTAGAAAGGGCGGATGTGGGCTATGTTTTTAAGGTGGAATCTACAGGATTTGGTAACAGACTGGATGTGAGGCTCAAATGTGAGGCAAAAATCAAGTATTATGCTAAGACAGTGCGCTTGCAAGGATGGACTGATGTGGGTACCACTCACTTGAAGGGAGAGCGAAAGGGGAGGATCAGTATTAGGAGGAGGAAAGACAAGGAGTTTTAGAGAGATTGATTTTAAAAAAGCGGTAGGACATCTAGTCAGAGATGGAAGAAAGGCAAGTAGTGACACGTTGCAGGACGGCACGGGAGAGGTCTGAGGAGGAGAAGTATACCTGAGTGTCATCAGCGTACAGGAAAATACGTTTAGAAAAAAAAAATCTATTTAGATATATTTCTACAAAAAATAACTAGTCATAAAAACTCAGTTAATAAATAAATAACAAATAAAATAAGGAAATAATTATTAAGTTCATCAACTTCATAGTGTTTAACCATTAATATAATAAGGGATTGAAAAAGAGAAAAGAATTACACTATTAAAATGGAATGAGATGAAAGATACAATATGTATCGGATACGGGATGCTGACTCCACTTAGGTTATGTGATGAGGGAAGGAAAAAAATTGCAACACAACATTATCAGTAGAACTTTAACCCCTTAACGCCATTACGGCGTTCTATGTCGATGCGGCTTTAAAGAATAAAAATAGGTGCGCTGTATCTTTAAATGTTAAAAAGTGCAAATGTGCAATAATATGTGCAAATATTTTGTGCAAAAACACAGAGTGTGTATACAATCACATTCAATGTGACATAAGTGAAAAATGCAAATGTGATAGTGTAAAAATTCAATATCCAAAACAAATAACTTACAAGGGAAATATATGTCTCCTTAAATTCTCCAAATCACATAAGAACATATGTAAAAAGAGATAAAAAATGGAGAAACATAGTATAATATTGTTTTACATAAATATAAAAACCAGCAAATAGAATTAGGAATATCACTCACAAAAGGAGAGCAGTAAAAGCCTGCTCTAACTGATCCAGCTTTAAATCCAAAAACCAGGACTTCAATGTTGGTGTAAATAGGCAGGACACCAGCTTCCAAAATTAAAAACAGCTTTATTGAAAATAAGTAGAATCCACACTCTCCGTTTCCATATAGCAGCCAAATAACCTTTTGCCAGTACTGTATAGTATATATCTACCAGTCCCTGGTGACTTTCGGTATTGTAGGCTTCACTTCCTGGAACTCGGAGTTTCGTCCGGTCACGTGATGGCGTGATGACGTAATCAACGTGATGACGCGTTTCGCCCAATCGGCTTCCTCAGATCACATCCTGATGTAGCTAGTCCTGCCTTTTAAAGCCCATACATGGGCGTGGTTTGTGTCAATCATTATAGAAACTCCCCATAAACTAATTAGGGGTAGATCTTATAAATGTCTATATTTAGAAAGTCCATGACATGTAAAACAACAAGAAAAACAAAAAAAACAAGTATAGCATAAAGCTAATCTTCTAATTAAAAGATAACTCATCCAAATGATTCATAAAACAGCAGTAGATAGTAGTAATAATAATAATAGTACATAGATTGCACATAAATACTTCTTGTTAGCGTCTTAATATAATTCCACAAGAAGAAGAAGAAAATGTGTATATATATACACACAAAGGGTCATATATACATATATATGGAAAAAAGAGGATATACATACACATATAGGTCATATATATATTTTTATATATAAAATTTATATAAAAAAACCTAGGTAAAAAACCAAAGAAAACCTTCTATAGAGGGGAAGAAGAAGGAAGTAAGTTAATAATCTTTAAATATTCTAAAAAATCTAAAAGACAGCACAAGAGAAAAAAAGATCATTAAAAAAAGTTGCGAGGAGGAAATTTTATTCAACATTTGGGAAAAGAAGAGATGAAATGGGTTCATACATTAAATACTCTTGAACCTAAGGGCCTCAATATTGAATTTGATTTGTACAACTTTTTTGCATTTTGCACTTATGTCACATTGAATGTGATTGTATACACACTCTGTGTTTTTGCACAAAATATTTGCACATATTATTGCACATTTGCACTTTTTAACATTTAAAGATACAGCGCACCTATTTTTATTTTTTGGATTTTATGTATGGTGTTTTATGAGCTTGTACACTTTTAGGTGCTGCTACACTTTTATTATCTTTATATTTTATGTTAGCACTTTCAGCGCCTTTATTGCTTGTTTGTTTTTTTAGATGCGGCTTTAAAGGGCTTTAAAGCCGTTGCGGGGGCATAGAACGCCGTAACGGCTTAAGCCCAGGGGAGGTGAGATTTACTTACCTCCACCGCGATCCTCTTCTGGAATGCTGCCTGACAGCCCAGGCAGCCCTCCCCCGGCGAATGAGGCCCCCGGGGGCCATGTGATCGCTCTAAAAGAGCGATCACATGGCCCCCTATAGCTGGCTGTGGATCTGCCAGCAGGGAGACTGTCTGAAATGTCAGACAGTCCCCCTGCTGGTGGAAAGTGTAAAAAAAGATTTTTTAATTAAATTAAAAATAAATTAAAAGTATTTATATATATAATATATGTATATATATTATAGATATAATATATATATATATATACATATTATATATATGTAACGTCATACGTAATGTATTTTAATACAAATATTAGTATATATATATATATATTTGTATTAAAATACACTTAGAATGACGTTACATATATATAATATATATATATATATATATATATATATATATATATATATATATATATTGGTAACAAAATACACTTAGAATGACATTCTATATATATCTATCTATATATAAAATACAAATAACCGCAAATATATTTATATAGATAAATACATATAATTACATAAAAGATTACATTAGTATACACGTAGAATTTAAATACCTATAAATGCATATATATTAAAATTCTACGTGTATATTTAAGTAATCTTTTAACATAATTATGTGATTTGATTAATTAAAATTTGAGTGACATGCCTGACAACACAGGGAGAAAGTGCAGAGAATTTAATTTGCAAGCACTATATTTGACCCTGTAACTCTCCAAGACACCATAAAACCTGTACATAGGGGGTACTGTTTTACTCGGGAGACTTCGCTGAACTCAAATATTAGTGTTTCAAACTGGTAAATTGTATTACAACGATGATATTTTAAGTAAAAGTGAAATTTTTTGCATTTTTTACAAACAAACCACTTTTATAGACTATATTATTGTTGTAATATGTTTTACTGTTTGTAACTAAGTGGCTACTAAAAAAAGACTAAACATACCCAACGTTCAATAACTTTGGTTGTCTACTTTTTCAAATGGTATGCCATTATGGGGGTTATTCTCATTCCTGGGCTACCACACCGTCTCAAAGGTAACATTACTAATCTGGCAAATTTCTATTTGAAAATGGAACATTCTATATTTGACCCTGTAACTTTCCAAAACACCATAAAACCTGTTAATGGGGGGTACTGTTGTACTCGTGAGACATCGCTGATTACAAATATGGGCATTTTTTTAGCAGTAATTCCTAACAGTATTATGACATTTACAGCTAAAATGTGAGGCGGAACTACAAATTTTTTTTTATTCATAATAAATTATGTTTCATATATAAATATTTGATATGAAATGAAAGCCCTGTTTCTCCTGAACAAAATGATATATAATAAGTGTGGGTGCATTTAATATGAAAGAGGTGAATTACGGTTGAACAGACATATAGCGCAAATTCCAGTTTTTGTTTACGTTTTGTTTTGATCAGAAGGTGTACTATTGACTCCGTCCTGAAGGGGTTAATTTTACATTCTGCAAATGTTAGGACTGCGCACTGTTAATGGTAGGTTATTTACTCTTTTGTCCCTGGTAAATATAGCTGTGATATCGATGATGACAATACCTGTTACACTGTAAGTTTAGGAGAGTATATAGCTTACTGATAAGTAAACTACATGGTCAGAGTATATGCACGTGGGTAAATAGAAACCACAGTGTCACTGTGCACAAATCATTGAAGCGTCTCCCCCCTTAATGACTTACCCAGTGATTTCTGTGGGTTGCTAAACCATGCAGAACCCACTTCAAGAAGCTCTTAATTAACAGTTCACGTTCTGATGTTGTTTGCAGGGGAAGTTTGGAACTCATTAGTGAGTAGTTAATTTTTTTGTGGTCTACTGATGAACTGTTGTTGCCTCTGGCTTTTCCAATTCACACTCACAGGTCTTATATTTAAACAAAATCTCCATTAAAAAAAATTCTTAAAATTGCATAGGGATTTTAGATAGTGTGCAACTATTTTTGCTTTTGTTCCATGTATTTTGGCTGATGAATGCTGTAGCCATTGCTGCTGCCCAGGAGTAGTGGGAGTTTGAGCACAGAACCGAGTTTAGTTTGTTTGTATTTGCTTTTGTATTACACAGCCATGCCCACCCAGTGTTTGTCCTATTAAATGTTAAAGGGACACTATAGTCACCAGAACAACAACAACAGTTTATTGTATTTTTTCTGGTGATTCAGTCCCTGCAGGCTTTTTGCAGTAAACATTGTCTTTTCAGAGGAAAGGCAGCATTTACATGGCAGCCTAGGGACTCTCCCAGTGGCAACTTCTCAGGCAGCACTGACATGGAGACACTGAACTTTCCTTATAGAAATGCATAGATTCAATGCATCTGTATGAGGAGATGGTGATTGGAAATGCCCCTGGCCTGCCTCATTGGCTGAAATAATTAGAATTGACAATCTCAGCCAATCCAATGCATTGTGATTGGCTGAGATCATCACTTCTGATGTGTAAACCAAGGAGGCAGATCAGGGGCAGAGCCAGCACCAGCAGACTGGATTAATGGTAAGATTTTATTATATTTCAGGCCGCAAAGGGAGGCTAGATAGTGATTTTAACATTATAGGCTTAGGAATACATATTTGTGTTCCTGACCCTATAGTGTT